GAGTAGGCAGAGCGCAGTTCATTACGGTAGTGGACCTTAGGCGCGGGTACTGGCAGGTACCGATGGAAGAAAAGAGTCAGAAATTTACCGCATTTGTAACGCATGAAGGTCAATACGCATGGAAAGTGATGCCTTTCGGGCTGAAAAATTCCGCGGCAACCTTTCAAAGAATGGTGAACAAACTCTTGTCGCAACATCAAGTGTATGCTACGGCATACCTAGATGACATTGCTATTTTTTCTAGCACTTGGGAGGAGCACTTAAGGCATCTCGACATTATTCTTAAGGTCTTAGAGAATGCGGGACTGAAAGCCAGCCCGGAGAAGTGTCAGATTGCGCAATCCCACATACATTACCTGGGGCATATTGTCGGTTCAGGGACACACGCACCAGACCCAGAAAAGATAGCAGCAGTTAAGAACTTGGTACCACAGCGCACCAAAAAGGAACTACGCAGCCTGTTAGGACTTTGCGGCTACTATCGAGAGTACGTCCGAGGATATGCAGAGGTGACGAGCCCGCTCACGTTGTTAACAAAGAAAGCGGCACCTAATAAGATACCCTGGCCGGAGGAAGCTCAGGCGACATTTGAGACTCTCAAACGACCTTTGTGCGAGGCTGTGGCGCTAAACACCCCTGAGCCATCTCAGCCCTACTGGCTTTTCACAGACGCATCAGCTACGGCGGCGGGAGCATGTTTGGCACAAATGTCAGCCGAGGGAGAAGAGAAGCCTATTGCCTTTGCAAGCCACCGCTTCTCACCGACCCAGATGCGTTGGTCGACAATTGAGAGGGAAGCGTTCGCAATAATATGGGCCTTAAAGAAGTTTGACTACTGGCTTTTCGGTGCCATAGTAAACGTCGTTTCCGACCACAATCCGCTGTCGTACCTTACAACTTCGACTCCGCACGGGGCGAAATTAACAAGATGGGCGCTGGCTTTACAGCGATATCATGTGTCGGTAAAACATCGGAAGGGAGTATGTAACGGTAATGCGGATGCGTTATCTAGGCTTCAGAATAGTTCATGGAAGCCATCAGAATAACAGTGCCATGCCAACTTGGGGAGACGTGAATGTTCCTGCCCACGTGCTGCTGTATATTGTGGACTGTGTGATTGACAATTCAAGAAACAGACACTAGTGATCTCACTGCTTGAAGCAGCAATGCTGTACTTGATTGTTTAGCATGTATTTGTTTTCGTTTAGTGTATTCTCCTGTAGGTTGACTTGCAATTGTGTTTGATGCTTGTGTACAACTGTTGTGTGGTTAGAAAATCCAGTGACTTAATCGTGGCAGTGCTTTATCGTATCACTGAGCGTAAGACAGCCCAGTATACTCTTTGGGGGGGACGTGTTAGGTTTTGCTGCTCATAAGTTGATCGTGCGGATGGGACAGCACCAGAAGCTACATTATTCAAAGCTTCTTTCTCGGATCTCTCTCGGCAAGGTCGCAAATTGCTTCCTGTGAGCATGGGACGACAGCGCGGGAAGCTACGTTATACAAAGCTTTTTTCTCGGCTCTCTCTCGGTATGCCTGTGTAACTATACACCACTTATCCTCTGGAATGCAAACTACGTCCGTCTCCTCCGATGCTGGGGACAAACACACAATGTGAAACGAACCCGCTTTGCCAACCGGCTTGGAATGTTTGTGGTTTAGAGACAAGTCGCCGCTGCCGGGGGCAAACGCACAATGGGATTAAGCGACCCCGTCCTGCCTCGGCTGCCGGGCGCGAGCTCAGTGGGAGTAGGTGACACGCTCTGTTCTGGCGATCGGCTCAAATTCGCAGCAATGCACGACCTGAGCACAAGGTAAGCGGAGAACGTCAAAGGCCGCTTGCTACCTGCGGGGGCAATTACGTTCCGCGCGCAATCATTCAATTTCCGGCTTTGGAGGTTCGTCTCGGCTCGCTGGGTGTGGGAAAGGGCATGAATGTACCGGGTCTACAATGCCGATATCTCCCGAGCGTTAGAATTCCTGAGCGCGTGGGAGGTGGAGAGAGAGAGACATGATGGGAAAGAGTACCAAAACGCCTGTTTAAACTGTAGAAGCGCTGCTGTCGAGAGTAAGGTCAGCCCAGTAGGGAGTGACTTAATCTTAGTGGAAACAGATTGGATGAGAGAATGTCGAGGCGGACCAGCAGTGGCTCCCTCCCCTTTTTCTTTGTTACCGCAAGATGCTTAAGACTGGAGGGAATCCGTTTCTCTTCAGTCGAGGCTGCAATCACTTAACTGATAGATCAGTACGACTCCGTACGATGCAACTTTTGTCTGGGCCGTAACCACCTGGTGGTCGAACAGTGAGACTAAGTACGTTGTATGTAGTAACAGTGTTCTAGGCTCTAACTTAAGAAAAGTTAAGTAGAAGAGTAAGACGCTGTTGATGTCTGTGTTATCATGAGTGTGCTTCGGCAAGATGTAAATATTTCGCTGTAATATACCTTCAAGTTTTCATTACCTCCAACCTGCCTCCTGCTTCATCGACGCCGATCATCTCCTTGACGGGACTTCAATCCATATCAAGGAGATCAACGAACAAAAAGGAAAACATAACTCCCGTGTGCTCAGATTTTGGCGCACATTAAAGAAGCTCAGGTGGTCGAAATTTCTGGAGCCCTTCGCTACAGCGTCTCTCATCATCATATGGTAGTTTTGGGACGTTAAACCCCACATATCAATCAATCAATCAATCTTTCTAAGGTTTTTGACACCAGTGTTTTTATTCACAGTGGCGATTCGAAAATATTTAAAACTCATGCAAGTGCTCCTTTAAGGTATGTTGCCTTTCTGAAGACTCCGCCCCCCTTTCTCGTTTTTTTTTTAAAAAGCGAATTTCACTTTTTCAAATTTTAGTAATTGACATGTATCCAGAATTGCCATTCAGCAAGCATGACATCTTTATATGGTTTTCTTTGAGAGTTCTGTTGTTTTTTACAATTACTAAATGACCCCCGTGAAACGGAAACTGACATTTGGTAAAACGAAGCCTACTTTCCAATCAGTGAAGCAAATGTGTTCATGCTCAAACATGCAGGATAAAATACTCTAGGCCCGTGTGCTCAGATTAGGGTGCATGTTAAAGAAACCCAGGTGGTCAAAATTTCCGGAGCCCTCCACTACCTCGTATCTCATAATCATATGGTGGTTTTGGGACATTAAACCCCACATATCAGTCAGACATGCAGAACATATTTAGATTAGTTTATGCTCATATGTGCTAAAGCTTAATAAGATTCTGCAATCGTGACCATTTTATATTCAAATTGCATTAACTTTTGCGTGAGGCCACATGAAGTGACATTGCGTTTACAGTGCACAGGTTTATTTTACATACAATGGACCATAGTATTAAATGCTACTGCTTGTATTCTAGTATTCTGCTTGAATGTGCAGCTCTGGCTATAAAGAAATAGCATGCTGAATTTTATTTAAAAATATTTATTAGAAGGAAACTTATCACTGTTCACGTAACTGCAGAATGCAAAAAATTGTGTTTTGAGAAAAATGGCTTTAAATATTTGAACCGAATGCCCGTGTAATAAAGTAACATTCAAGATGTTTAAAATTCACCCGGGCCATAACTTCGGACTTCCTTCGAAGTTGTGCCGTCTCTTTTTGACTCAGGTGAAACATGTTTTAATATTTTGTACCTCATTTCGCCTCTTGAGCTGACTCTTATCCATACGCTGCACAGCAGGGCCAGGCTTCGCATATTGATTTCATAATTTGCATTGACGCTTAATTTTCATCCAATACTTTGTCATATTTGACCAAGTACTATAACTTTCATTTTGAAAAGCCAGAAAATTGAGTCGAACAGCTAGAAATGGCATAAAAAAAATACCCAGACAGCCGGGCAAAAGCACATTCAACCTACACAACACATTGGGTCAGCTGTGCAGTGGGAATTTTAATAGTAATTGGTGGGTTTAACATCCCAAAACCACCTTATGATTATGAAAGACGTCGCAGTGGAGGGCTCTGAAAATTTCGAGCACCTGGGGTTTTTTAACCTGCGCCTAAATGTAAGTACACGGGCCTCAAGCGTTTCTGCCTTCATTGAATATGCGGCTGCCACAGCCGGCATTCGATCCCGCAACCTGTGGGTCAGCAGCTGAGTGCCTTAGCCACTTGACCACAGTGGTGGGTCTGCAGGGGGAATTTCAAAATAAATCTCAAACATCAGGTCCACAAGCTTTAAAACATGCTTAGACAACTTAGCATTGTGTAATATGTATACGAAGTGATATTCGTGATGAGATGGCAGGTGTTTTGAAATCGAAAACCTTCAGTTTCGGTTTTGGTTGTGTCTAGGAAGGGTCGGAAAAATGTTCATAGCTTTTGAATGGCTGAAGGTAACTACATAACTCTACTTGTCAAATATTCTTGAAAAGAGACGAACCTTAAAGATGTTTCATCTTAAAAAGGCAATTTTTTTTCGTATGACTTTTTGAAGTCGACCTACCTTTAAGACCACATTTGGGTTGCTACATAAGGGGTGGCTGGCATGTTTGTAAAATAAAAGCAGGTGCTATTGTGTGATACATGTTTTCACAATGACCAGTTATTAATACAGAATGAATTGTTGTGGCAGCAGCTTTGAAGGGCAGGTCGTTCCATTTCCTGGCAGCTCGATTCTCTGGCATCTGCATTATGATGATGGGAATGCGCTTTAAAATGCCTGCTCTTTGTGGCCATTTTTTTGAAAAAGGGCTATGTCATTGAGAAAGCATGCATTCATGGCCTGATAATAATGGGAGTGAGACATTGAAGTCAATGCTTCAACAAGATTACTTGTAAACTCCTTGTGGCAATATTAGCTTCAATTATCCTCTGCCCTCTTTTATTAAAATCATATTCCTGCAATTTGTCTGTTTTGGATTCAAGCACTGATTATGTTTCGTTCGGAAACTTCTGTGTTATTAAGTGTAGCTAGTGTTTGCATGTCCAGCGATATCTCAATGGCACTACAGATTCTTTCGCCTACTTTCGCTGCAGTGAGAGAGAAATATTCTGCTTTTCCCCTGCCGGCCATCATCATATTGACCTTCATGGTGGTCATGTTTGTGTCAAGCTGCATCGCCTTTTGGATTATCTGGTACCGTAGAAGACAACGTGTGCTGGTAAGTCAGTCAGCACGACACCTGCTTCATAAGTGCAGAGAGTTTTATCCCAATAGCATTTGAAAGCCCGTGTCGCAAAACTTCCGGTGTCGGAGTCACTAGTTGGGTGCAGGAAATCGTCATTGTCCGTGACTGAAGAATGGGCATAGATGCAATTAATAAAAAATGATGTACCTGCTGTGGAATTGAACCCACGTTTTCGGCGTGGCAAGCCTTCATTCTACCACGGAGCCACGGCAGTGCTTGGAACTGCACTGAAAGTAACTTTCCCGCTTTGCAAACATACATGTCCTGTGTACTGGCATCGCAGTATGAGACGTAATATTGCAGGAATATGTGGTACAAGCATGCATTACCATTGGGCATCACACTATGTGATTTCCATAAGTTGGTGTTTCGAAACTGGCCACACGTTACAAAAGGCACACGCATTGCTGCTGGTATTCCTTTACGAATGCGTAGTAGATGCATTGCAGCTTCGAAAAAGCATTACGTGCATAATTGCTGCTGGTTGAAAGCATGTTAATCATTATAAAGGGCACACTTACAAAGGGCACACATATTAATTATAGTATGCACATTCTCTTGTGCACATGTAGTGGGTACAGTGTTGTCATAAGAGGGTTGTTGCAGCGGGTGGGGACCTTTACCTGTACTATAGGTATGTCATGTATGTGCGTGCATGTGCAGCTGGCCAGGCGACTGAATATCATGACAAGCGAAACAGAGCGTGATGAGGATAGGGTCAGGTCTCATTGCATTGAACTCTTGAAGCTTAAGCGTCCCCCTATTTTCTTATGTATACTTGTAATAACCACTAGAAGGGCTTGTCCTCATTCCATGACTTCCTTTTACTTTCTCCAGAACTTTTCTTTTTGCTACAATTTCTACTATGCCTGAGTTAATTAATTGTTTTACTAAAGCAATAAGGTGTAAACGAGACAAACACAATAAGAGACATGGACAAACGCCCTTCATAAAATATACACTAACTAGCCCAAGGAAAAACTCTACTTAATAAAAAGTTTCAGAGGGGATAATGCTTTCACCACGTACAGTTAACTATCAGTGCCTTTCATGAACACAGACCAGCAGTATATTGGGCTTCTTATGCCTGTACGGTTTTGTGAAAGTATTTTGTAAGTCGACACATTGACTGTGACCTTCCAGTGGTGTCTCATTTTTTTACTGTATTCTATCTGTTCTATAATATTTTTACCATGGTAGCTTCTTTGGGTTATCTCTTCATGTGTTTATGTCTTTAGGGCCATCCCATAATGGTATCTACACACAGTGAAAAAACTGCCACTCCTGCATTTGCAGAATGAAGCTGGAAGGGAATCTGTACGAATTACTGAAAAATAAAGCCTTCTGGCTGATTGACAACCAGCTGCCACCAGGGATTCATCCGTACAAGGAAATCCATGCAGGCTTAGAATAAGGGAAAGTGTCCTTGTATGTATGACGTATTCGTCCACATTTGAATCCTTCTTTTTTTCTTCGAAACCAGCATTGATTTCCTCATAGCTTCATCATAAAAAGTTGGACCATCTCCTGCTAAAGGGAACCATGTGTAAATGCGAAGCAGCGGACGCTAACGCTTACACTGGCATCGACGCTGGCGCTCACCAAGCGAAAGCCAAGTAACGACGCCCTTGACTGAATTTTGAACGCGTGATTTAGTGCCTACGTATACAGGGTGGCCAGTGAATGGTTATGCAGCATGAGTAGTCTGTTTTTTACTAGCAGACGCTGCCTGTGTCGACTTTTTGAGACGAGAAAGCGGGAGGGGAGCGACAGTTTTGCGGTTGTTTTCCTGGGCCGGCACGAGACGTGAGCATGCGGCATGAGACGAGAGACGTGGGCGTGCGCAGTGGGGGTGTATGGAGGGGAGTCAAAGGCTGGACACAGGCTAGTCAAAGAGCTGCTTCACATATAAAATGTCTGAATCAGTTTTTTTTTTCTCAGATGAACTTTTATCCACCTTCCTGGCTTTTGCAGAACACAAGCTATCTTACACAGTTGGCCTCCATCATATATCTTTTGGAAGTTATGTAAATGCTTTTATTAAATAGTCGTGACATCCATAAAACTTCAGCAGTAATGGTGGGGAATCCTGTAGCTCTGTAGCACATTTTAACCTGTTATAGCTATCACTCCAAAGGCTGGCTTTTATGTTCATGAGGAGGTTGAGATAGCAATGCAATGGTTACAGCATCTACAAGTCATGTTAGATGTCATAAGTTCAATGTCATAAGAGTAAATGTTAACATTGGTTATGAACACCTGTCATGTCATATAAAAAGTGAAGACAAGTGACAGCTTTTACTGTAAAGAATATCACTCACAATTTTATTTTAATTTTTTGTATATGTGCATTCTTTCTCAGTTTACGTGTGGTATGAACTTTTCTTGGTCTGCTTTATGGTACAGAATGGCAGGATATCGAAGAGTGTGTACCAGACTGACCTTACTGCCAATATATTCTGCATGTCTTCTTGCTTTTTGATAGCTAGAAAGTTCACATTAAACTCTGTAACCGTCACATTGTGCTTCGCAGGGAATGCTGCAGCCCACACCCTGTATGCCGCCATCGTTGAGTCCAGCTCCAGGTCCAGTGGTGTCCGGTATGCCTACATACATGCAGCCAGAAGCACGTCCTCTCATACCCAGTGCATCCGCATATCCGGCCACAGTCAATACGTGCCAGAAGGACTTTCAAGAAGATACAAGTCCACCTTATGTAAAGAATGGATTCTACTGCGATCATAGCAGTACATCTCCGCCTCAACTACCCACTGCTCCAATTCCATCCGCACCGCCTCAACCACCCCCACCTTATGGCAGCTGAACAAACTAGAATAGACTTCGTATATGCATTGTACTTGCTGTGGTGGTGCAGAGGCCATGCTTCATCTTGCTGTTGTACTTGAAGTTAGATTTCATTCCTCATGGAGCACAGTGCAAGAGTGCTAGTGAGGTCACGGCAGCATGATTCTGCCGTGACTGCACACAGAGCCAATGCCATCTGCCCATTCACAAATGATAAAAAAAGTGTGCTAAATATGTGAAAAGCATTTTATGAAATGCTAATAAATGCTAATGTACACGTAAATGAGGTGTTTGCAACAGACCCTTTTCATAACCAGTTAGTGCACTTCTCTGCATTGCAGTGAATATGAACAAGTAATGGCGGCACCTATCGGGCTTCAAGCGGAGAGGCGGTCCTAACTGAATGCTCCGTGTCTTGTCTATTATGAGTGTTTATATGAAGAGAGGCGACTCAACATTTTCCACATCATTGTGTAAGCAGGCAGCGCTTGAACAGATTATTTGCACTAGATTACATGCCACCAGTAGTAGTTCAAACTGCATAGCAGGAAAGGTAACTGTACTGTATTGAAAAGGATCTATGTATTTTGTTTGTTTTTATACTTACAACAGACAGTCATCTCAGACATTGTTAATGCACTGCACAGCTAAAAAAAATCTATACTGAAATGCGAACATTAAGTTAGAAAAATACATAGCACGAGACATTGATGCAGCGATGTCATGAAAACAAAAGCTGTACATGATGGCTCTGTAGAACCTGTTGCTAAATGCTTTTAAAGATTCCATACAATGTGAAAATGGCAGAAATGAATATTGGAAGATTTGCAAAAGTTAAGTGATAGTTCACAGTGTTGCACTGAGTCACAAACCTATACCAAGCGAAACAGTCTAAGTATCACCTGTTGGACATCCATAAACAGACAGGCAGTTCTTCATTGAAAAGCCTAAAGATGTGCCAGTATCCATAGAACAACTTCCATTATTACCAGCATGGAAAATGAAGTAGCGTTTTATTGGCACCAAGAGGAAGTGATGGTAGTGCAACTTAAACAAAGAATGTGTGTAAAAAAAATCAATTGTCCGAGTAAGTGAAACTCGAGCTGCTTTGTACCACACTGTGCTTTTTTTCTTTCTGTGTGTAGGTGAAGCATTACAGTACGTACAGCTGTTGCATCATTGTAGTTGGATGTATGAAAATATTCGTGCTTCACTGCAAACTTGTATTTTTATTCTGTGCAGAAGTGTCAACAAACAATTTGTGAGCACGTGCCTTGTGTAATCAAATACAGGCCAGGGTTTTCTTTTCATTAAAGGGGCCCCGCAACACTTTTTAAGTGACCATCGAACACCTTCACTAAAGGAGTTTGTTGCTTACGAATTGACTGCCGCAAGAATTTCTAAATTTATAAAGTATGAGCGAAGTTACAGAGATTTGTCGTGGCCCTGTAATATTTTTCTCTTTTCTCTCGTCCTGACGATTGCACTGGAAGGTAAGCAGGGAGGGATGGCAGGGAGAAGGTAGGTACATCACACTCGCGTCATGACCCTGAGTGATTTTTCACTTCTCGTGTGAACGAGCCGCTTGCTTTTAGTGTGATCGCGAGCGGTGTATGTGGACGCACGGCGGTGTTCCGAAGCGACAGCAGTGATTGTGCTGCCAGTAATGCTCAAATCAGCCAGTCGCCGTGTTGTGACTTTGGGTGTATCACGCTGCCGTTTGGGTTTTCGTTACATCTTGTAGAAAGCCGAGGGTACGATTTCTGGCTGACTTTAACGAATAATTGTAAAATGTCACGCCATGTGCTGCTCTATAATGTTTGGCCCACATGTTCTCAGGACCCTCAACTACCAATTGGCAACGTTTTCTGACCATGCTCAAAAAGTGTTGCAGGGTCTTCGCAAGGTTTTAATGCCAGATCTGTTGTAAGTGCACTAAGTGTAATCGTTTTTAAGCAGCCGTTCTAGCTCATGCTGAAAAGGCGTACCTTTTCTTGCCTTTATCTTACCTTTATCTTGTTGAAAGGCTTGTCTTACCTGGACAGAGCAATAAAAGTACCACATAAATGTGTGTGGGTATGCTTTTCGTGAAAAAAAAAAAAAAACTGCATGCACCGAGCTACCTTTCTGAATTTCCTTGTGCTCTTTCAATGTAATCTTACATAATTAAGTACACCGCCAGCTGTTGCGGTCTGTGTATCTACATCCTCACTTTTCTCAGTGGCTCCTAGCTTACGGGTGTAAATTTTCCCACGTTTAATGGCGTTGTAGAACTTTGCTTGCAGCTGTATGTATCTACTTTTGAAAAACGTAAACTCCTTGGTGTTCAAAACGTTACTTTATACCTAAAGCTTACATGCCAGGCATGTAGCTTTGATGTAGTGACTGTTATGCATCTGTCAATGAAAGGTATTGCAAAAAATTAATTAAATAAACAAAGAGAAAGTTTGTTTCCTTTTGCATATACAGAGAAGGGAGGGCATGCAGTTTTGTTCATTAAAACAGCTTTCCTGTTGTGTTCCTCGTCCACTGGCTGTTTGCATGAAGTACGATGATGTTCCACATGGTAGCTCTTTTAATGGAGTGGTCTTCTTTCACTGAATTCATGATTAAGCTGCTGCCATTCTTCCTTGCTGCATTGTAAACTCGTGTGCAGGCTCGTCCATGTTCAGGGTGTATCGTATCGCGCCTCACTCGTGCGCTACGCACGATAAGCTCAAGGGGCTTCGCCCGATCTTGATGCTATCGCGTGTTGATCAAAGGGGCGTTGCCCAGAGTGTATTATAAATGTGACGGACTGAATAAACGGGGCAGCACTAGCTGCCTGACGCACCTGCTGTCACGCTGATCCCTGGTCCCAAACATAGGCATATACCAGGCATATACCAGCATATACCAGGCATGTTCAGGGTGAACACCGCACAGCATAGCTGCGCTCTGCAGAGCACTGCTGCATCCATTGCGGCAGCACATCCAACCAATGTAAGCAGGTGAACAGGCACACGCCCCTCTGGCTCAACTTTACAGCAAAGCAATAGCGAAGTGCGGTGATGGTGTAGTGGTTAGAGCATCCGCCTCGCATGCAAGAGGTCCGTGGTTCAAATCCCGGTGCCGCGCAGTCACCAACCGGATTAAAAAAAAATCCGCGTGTTGATGGAACTGCATTAAGAGGCCTGGGGTGCGGCCTCGCCGGTAACCACCGCCGGGAACGCACTCCCTCACCAGAGAAGAATTCGCCACCCTGGTGCTGTATCTGGCCACTACCTCCCACATGCATACGTCAAATAACTCACGGCCCTCAGTCCCCAGCAGCTGCGAAGCAACTGACCACGGTGGCGGTCAGATCTGCAACGCAGCATTGGGTGCTAAGAATCTCTGGATCCGGACAGGCCGCCATTGGAACCTGAACTTGGCAACGTTTAACGCTAGAACCTTATCTAGTGAGGGAAGTTTAGCTGTACTATTCGAGGAGCTAGAGGGTGTTAAATGGGATATAATAGGGCTCAGCGAGGTTAGGAGGACAGATGAGGCCTATACTGTGCTACAGAATGGGCACGTCCTTTGCTATCGGGGCTCGGCAGACAAAAGAGAACTGGTAATGGGGTTCCAAATTCACAGAAACATAGCTGGCAACATAGAGGAATACTATAGCATTAGTGAAAGGGTGGTAGGTATTGTAATTAAACTGAATAAAAGATACAGGATGAAGGTAGTACAGGCTTACGCGCCTACATCCAGCCATGATGACGCTTCAGTTGAAAGCTTCTATGAAGACGCGGAATCGGCAATGAGTAAGGTAAAAACACAGTATACTATAGTGTTTGGCGACTTTAATGCAAAGGTAGCGAAGAAGCAGGCTGGAGACCAGGCAGTAGGAGATTATGGCATCGGCACTAGAAGCGCCAGAGGAGAGCTACTAGTAGAATTCGCAGAATGCAATAATTTGCGGATTTTGAATACCTTCTACCGAAAACGAGAAAACCGCAAGTGAACATGGAGGAGCCCTAATGGCGAAAATAAGAACGAAATAGACTTTATGATGACTGCACACCCAGGAATTGTGAAGGATGTGGAAGTGGTTGGCAAGGTACGATGCAGTGACCATAGAATGGTACGGTCTCGAATTCGCCTAGACTTGAAGATGGAACGACAGAAACTGATACGCAAGAAGCCAATCAATGAGCTAGCACTGAGAGGGAAAGTAGAGGAATTCAGAGTGTCGCTGCAGAACAGGTACTCGGCTCTTAGTGAGGAAACCAACCTTAGCGTAGATACAATGAATGATAATCTGACGAGTATCATTACGGAGTGTGCAGTGGAAGTTGGAGGCAGGGTAGTTAGACAGGACACTGGCAAGCTTTCCCAGGAAACGAAGAACCTAATTAAGAAGAGTCAAATCATGAAAGTCTCAAGTACAACAGACAAAATAGAACTGGCAGAGCTTTCGAAGTTGATTAATAGGCGTAAGGTATGCGATGTAAGAAGGTATAACATGGAGAGAATTGAACATGCTTTGAAAAACGGAGGAAGCGTCAAAGCATTGAAGAGGAAACTTGGGATAGGCAAAAGTCGGATGTATGCACTAAGGGACAAAGAAGGCAAAATAACTACCAATATGGATAGGATAGTTAAAATAGCGGAGGAGTTTTACAGAGATCTGTACAGTAGCCGAGACAACTACGACCTTAATACTATAAGAACTAGCAGTAACCCAGATGACACCCCACCAGTAACGATAGAAGAAGTCAGAAAAGCTTTGGAGAGCATGCAAAGAGGCAAAGCTGCTGATGAGGATCAGGTAACATCAGACCTGCTGAAAGATGGAGGACAGATTGTGTTAGAAAAACTAGCCACCCTGTTTACGAGGTGTCTCCTGACGGGAAGGGTACCAGAGTCTTGGAAGAACCCTAACATCATCTTAATACATAAGAAAGGAGATGACAAGGACTTGAAGAATTACAGGTCGATCAGCTTGCTCTCTGTAGTATACAAGCTATTTACGAAGGTAATTGCTAACAGAATAAAGAAAATATTAGAATTCAATCAACCAAAGGAACAAGCAGGATTTAGAACAGGCTACTCAACAATTGACCACATTCATACTATCAATCAGGTAATAGAGAAATGCTCAGAGTATAACCAATCACTATACATAGCCTTCATAGATTACGAGAAGGCGTTTGATTCAGTAGAAATATCAGCCGTCATGCAGACACTGCGGAATCAGGGCGTAGATGAAGTATATATAAACAATCTGGAAGCAATCTACAGGGGATCAACTGCTACCATAGTGCTTCATAAAGAAAGCAGCAGAATACCAATCAAGAAGGGTGTAAGGCAGGGGGACAAAATCTCCCCAATGCTATTTACCACGTGCTTACAGGAGGTTTTCAGAAGCCTAGAATGGGAACAGTTAGGGATAAGAGTTAACGGAGAATACCTTAGTAACTTGCGCATTGCTGATGACATTGCATTGCGGAGTAACTCAGGGGACGAATTGCAACTCATGATTACGGAGTTAGACAAGGAGAGCAGAAAGGTGGGTCTTAAAATTAATCTGCAGAAAACGAAAGTAATGTACAACAACCTCGGAAAGGAGCAGCGCTTCGAGGTAGGTAATAGTGCACTTGAAGTTGTAAAAGACTATGTCTACTTAGGGCAGGTAATAACCGCCGAGCCTAACCACGAGATTGAAGGAACCAGAAGAATAAGAATGGGGTGGAGCACATTCGGCAAGCACTCTCAAATTATGACAGGTAGATTGCCACTATCCCTCAAGAGGAAGGTATATAACAGCTGTATCTTGCCGGTACTTAGCTACGGAGCAGAAACCTGGAGACTTACAAAGAGGGTTCAGCTTAAATTGAGGACGACGCAGCGAGCAATGGAAAGAAAAATGGTAGGCGTAACCTTAAGAGACAAGAAGAGAGCAGAGTGGATTAGGGAACAAACGGGGGTTACGGATATCATAGCTGAAATCAAGAAGAAGAAATGGACATGGGCTGGGCACGTATAGCGCGTAGACTGAATAACCGCTGGTCATTAAGGGTAACTAACTGAATTACCAGAGAAGGCAAGCGGGTTAGGGGGAGACAGAAGGTTAGGTGGGCAGATGAGATTAAGAAGTTTGCGGGTATAAATTGGCAGCAGCAAGCACAGAACCGGGTTAACTGGCGGAACATGGGAGAGGCCTTTGTCCTGCAGTGGACGTAGTCAGGCTGATGATGATGATGATGATGATGATGATGATGATGATGATGATGATGATGAATAGCGAAGTGCTCCAGCAGAGTACCAGGTGACGTTACGTACCCTGCGGGTCTGAACCGGT